CGGACATGAAAAAAAGACAAAAAAAAAAAAAAAAGACAAAAATCTTAATATTGCTATAAAGGCAATATTCCCCAGGTTGATGTAGAGATTCAAGGCAATCCCTATCCAAATCATGGCTGGCTTCTTTGTAGAAATTAACAAGCTAAACCTAAAATTCATAGGAATTGTGAGAGACAAGCCCAGAATAGCCACAACAATCTTGAAAAAGAACAACACTGGATAACTCTCACTTCCCAATTTCAAAACTTACTACAAAGCAACAGTAATCAAAACAGCACAGTACTAGCATAAGGATAAATGTAGGTCAATGGAATCGAAATAAAATATGTTTGTGGTAAATATAATGTTCACAAGGATGCCAAGACCATTCACTGGGGGAGAGAAGAGTCTTTTCAAAAAACAGTGCAAGGACAACTGAATAGCCAGACACAAAAAAATAAAGATGCATTCTGACTTCACACCATATACAGAAATAAATTCAAAATGGATCAAAGACTTGAATATAAGAGGGAAAACTATAAAACTTTTAGAAAACATCAAGAAAGTGAAAAGATAGCCCACAGAATGGGAGAAGATATTTGCAAATAATATATCTTATGAGTCTTATATCTAGAACAGACACTTAAAAATTCATACTATTCAATAATAAAAAGACAAATAACCCCAATTTTTCAAATTGGCAAATGAAATGAATAGACATTTCTCCAAAGAATATTGACAAATGGTCAATAAGCACATGAAAAGATGCTCAACATCATTAGTCTCCAGGCAAATGCAAATCAAAGTCATAATGAGATCATTCACTAGGATGGTTATAATCAAAAAGGTAGGTGATAAGTGTTGGCAAAAATGTGGAGAAATCAGAACCATGATACACTGCTAGTGAAAATTTAAAATGATAAAACTGTAAATGTGAAAATGTAAAAAAGTTTCTGGCAGCATTGTCTATAATAACCAAAAAGTGGAAAGAATACTAATGTCCGTATGCTGATGAGGGGATAAACAAGGTATGGTATATTCATACAACAGAATATTGTTCTGTCACAAAAAGGAATAAAGTTTTATATATAATACAATATGGATGAACCTTTTTTTTTTTTTTGTCTTTTTTCGTGTCCGGCAACAGATCGCAACCCTCAGTGTCGCGCCAGTACCGGACCGGAACCGGCAACGGGATCGCAACCCTCGGTGCTGCACCCGCACCTCGCTCAGCCAGTGAGTGGGAACTGGTCTGTATGTTGGATCCGAACCCTCGGTAGGAGCGCCGCTGCACTCTCAAGCGGCGCACTGTAGCAGTGCGCCACCGGGCCAGCCCAATATGGATGAACTTTAAAATCAATATGCTGAATGAGAGAATCTAGTCACAGTAGACC